TTCTGCGACCGGCTTACGCGGGTCGGGTCGGGTTGACCCGAAACCGAGGCGGGTCGGTTTCGGGTTTCGAAAATCGACCCGTTTATAAAACCGGGTCGGGTTGACCCGAACCCGAATAAATCCGGGTCACTTACGGGTCGGGTCGGGTTCGACCCGTAACCCGAAATTGACAGGTCTATGGTGATCCTTCCTACCTCCATCGTCAGAAAATGATTTTTCTAACCTCCATCGCCCATTGACTATGATCCTTCCAATCAAATGAATACGTTAACAGTGATTCTTTGTATTCATATCATGTAATGTATTCCATATGATATACATTAAACCAAGGCCTTCCCCCTAAGAAAGGGCCTCATTTGTAACCAATTGTAAATAATAGTAGATTCATTCAAATTGGATCAGGCCCCATAATATTTCCCATATTTAAGATTTTTCAAGTAAAAATTTTGGTGTCTCTTATGAATACTGCACCCTCTCTTTTTATCTGATTACACGCTAGAGCTTCGTTCAAAGCTAAGACGTTAAACTTTATATTTCTCTAGCACCGTGAGTACTTCGGGAAGCACAATAATATTTAAATTTATTATGATACAAATTATATGATGCTATTATGATACCATTGTTCTTTAGACTTTGTTTGAGGCAGCTAACCTTTTATTTTTTGTTTTGCTATTTAGAGTTTTTGATATGATTTTGAAAATTAACTTTTTAATAGCAAATTTTGAAATAGAAGTGAAAAAGCTAACTTCCAACGCAAATATTTTTTTCTAATTATTTATCTCACCGCAAAAGTAGTTGAAAAGCTAATCAAAATCAAGCTTTAGATTTTATCTGGAACTATTTTTTTTTTAATAGCTTTCTAACACCAATTTTTTATTTCAAAAATATTTTGCACTAGAAAACTATTAAAAAAGCAGTAAAAAAGTCATCCTAAATCAAACCTTAGGCTTCATTTGGGACAACTTTCTTTTTGCTATATATGTTTTTCATATTAAAATCATAATTTTTATTTGGCTACTGTTTTTCTATTGCTTTTCAAATTTTTTTTGTACGTGAAAGCTATTTTCTAGAACAGCTTTAAAAATTTACTTTCTCTATAATAACTTTATAAAATAGTAAAAAAATCTTCCCAAATGAAGCTTTAATTTGCTCTAAATGATACAAAGCTTGATTTTTTTTTTTCATAAAAATGCTCCTATATTATTTCTCATCTCACTTAAAATCATCTTTAAGATTCTTATAATAAACTAATATTGCTGACCTTGATCTACTATTATTTTTTATTCCTAATCATCATTCAAATTTTGTTGCCAAATGGCTAAAAAGTCAGACTTTGAAACATGAAGGCTGAGTCAAGTACAGAAGATAAAAAACTGAATTAGGTGAAGACCATTGCTACCAAATAGCTTTTTAGAAGATGAAGACAAATATGGCTCCATCATCTTGCTTGATTTCTTGTTAGGCTAATAAGAGAAGAAGAAAAAAATCTTAAGAGTTGAAAAGAAGCCAACAACAACTATAATTTTCTTAGTGGTTTTGTCTTATTTCTTTGGTGGGTTGAAGAAAAGATGAATGTATAGACTTTATTATTCATATCTTATGAGAAAGTTCATTTGAGCAAATATGAATTTTGACATAAGTATTTGAATAAAAAAATTAGATCAATTTTTGTTGAATCGATCAGTGATACCTGCAATAAATGAACAAACAGAGAGCAAGAGAATCAAATAGATTGCTAGAACTTTACTGTTCATCTTCTCTATTCATTCCACTAGTTATACAACCGTATAGAAGAGGCAGTTAGTTAGAGATCAACCGCCATGATGCTACAACAGTAATCAGATGGTGAGCATTACAGAGTATTGGGAATGGCAAAGAGAGTGGAGCAGCCATACAATAAGTGAGCCGACTTAAACATAGGTGAGAGATGGTATCAGTTTTCCTTATCAATTTTGAGATCATCTTAACTCTATTTTCAATAAACTTATAGTTGAAGTTTCGATAAGATGAACCCAATAGTAATAAAAGTAATTTGATTTGAGTTCAAATGGAACTAAATCAAGCAGTTGAGTGTAAACGTGAAAGTTTTATCACACTATTTGATTGATCAAATAATCTCCAAAGTTTGTGTTCTTACAATCAAAATGAGCATCTTGCTAAGATTAACACAATGAGCTGATGACGAATCAATTTTAATGTCATTAAGGAACTTATATGCATAAAGAATTTTATATGATCAAGATGATCAACATGAATAATTAGATGAAGTGTTCTGATTTCTAAATTAAATGATTAGAATGCCCCTATCCATAAATCTAGAATCAAATTACCAAACTTCTACTTTTACAAATCAGAACACTTCTTTGAATATATGAAAATGCACAATGAAGACTATCTCTGAGAGAGAGAGAGAGAGAGAGAGAGAGAGAGAGAGAGAGTTCAATTGCAAAATAAAATAACATCCAAAAGATCAAAAGTGCTTTTATATCTATACCTTTTATCTATGATATGTAATAAAAAATTTATCTATATCGGGCAAATCTCAAGGCAAAATCAAGTCTGAAACTTTCGAAATTAAATCGGAGACCATTTGAACTCTGATTTCAATAAATTTATAGTCTAACTGTACACCTTATAATTACGAACCCAACGTCACCAAATTCGACTCAATCTGAGCCCAAATGGGTCCAAATCGAAGACCCTAAGCGCATTTGAAATGTTCAAACCATAAATTGGATGAATAAACGATTTACAAATGTAACATGCTTATAGTCAAATCGATCATCTCAACGAGACAAATCCAATGAGCCCAAGTTAGCCAAATTTTGATATCATTAAAACATTCAAATGCCCAATAAATAGTTCACGATCAAGTGCATCATAATCTGTATATACTACCTTTCATGTTATTCATTTGAAGAGGTTTGTCAAATATATTTCCAATGACAAAGATAGTGCTTCAGGTTAGTAAAATGTGATCTTAAGCAGATAAGACAATCCAAATGAGAACTACAAAAAAAGCTCATAAACAACTATTTTAATGCATTTTGACATTTAGATGAGACAACAAATAAAAGTATTTAAATTTAGGCGTCCCCTGAATAAAATTTCTGACTTTGTTACTGAGTGTAATATTATTTTTTTGCACATGATGTACAATAAATGATATGGTTTGTGATCTTTTTTAATTGAGAGTGAATGAACTCATAATATTATTTTGCAACCGCTAGAGCAAGAGCTATACAACTAAAAACTATAAAAATTTACACCCATACCCCCATACCGAATAAATTGGGTTAAACGGAAAATTGAAAATTTAATTTTAGAAATATCTCGGATTATTTTTTCCTTCGGCACCACATCAGTTTCCTGTTGTGTGTCTTGCAGTGGATCCCAGCTAAATGAGTCCATCCATGGAACTTTTATTTGGTCAGGTGAACGCACGCAACTCTACGTTTGGATGCCAGTAGAATCGCGCCACGCGTTTTCATTATTTACCGCGCGCCCCGACAACCCGACCCGGAACGGACCCAAGATCGCTCGGTATTGGTCGATTTTGCTCGGCAATAACCAATACCGAGCAAATACCTAGCAATACCGAGCAAATATCGAGTTTTTTCAAGCAATACCGAGCAAATCCCGAGCAAATACCGAGTTGTACCGAGTTGTAGAAAAACTCGGTACAACTCGGTATTTTCATGATATTGCTCTTCACAGAGCGGTATTTCTCGTTTTTGCAAAACAATATCTAGTAATATCGAGCAAATACCGAGCAATACCGAGCAAATCGCGAACATAGCATTCCCAGGTTCCGGTCCGAGTCAAGGCATCGGGCCACGAGGTAAAGAGTAAGAGTACGTGGTGACATGTTATTGTCGGCCGAACGTAGCTCTACGTCCGGTCATTTGTTCTCATCCATAGGCCTACTAATGTCTGTACGATGGTAAAAGCACCGAAGTTTTGTACACTAAAGTTGACCAAATAAGATGTTCTATGAGATATTCGAGGGTGAACTCGGGTGCAAAGTTCTGTGGAAATGTATGGGAAATCAGAAGAGGACAGAATTTCTCTCTCTCTCTCTCTCTCTCGCCATCTCTCTCACGCTGCAGTGTGCCAGTTCGGTAAAACCCAAATTACGAAATCGGTTAAGTCCTTTTGACAATGCACTGCCATTGCTTACCTCTTCCTGCCCATCTCTTATTCCTCACCATCTTCGTTGTCTCCGCCGCCACCTGCGCCAACGCCAACACCGCCGGAAGGGAAAGGGCGGCTCTGCTAGAACTGAAGGCATCGGTATCCGACCCTGCAGGCGTCCTTTCCGGCTGGATCGCAGCCTCCGACCACTGCTCATGGCAATGGATATCTTGCGATTTAAAAGGGCGAGTCGTCGCCATCAACATTTCTGCTTACACTGGCGATACGTCGCCGTCATGCTCCCGGTCTGGTCCATTCCGCTGCTACTACTCCGATCCCGACAGGAGGCTCGCCGGAAAACTGAGCCCGGCCATAGGAGAGCTTACCGAGCTGAGAATTCTTTCTCTCCCCTTTCATAGTTTCGAAGGAGATATCGCCGGAGAGATATGGGGGTTGGAGAACTTGGAAGTGATTGATCTCGAAGGTAGTTCGCTGGTCGGAACCCTACCCTCGACGTTCCCCAGTTTCCTTCGCGTCCTCAATTTGGCCTCAAATCTGATTACTGGAGAGATCCCTATTTCGCTGTGTCATAATTGTATTCATCTGGAGATCCTGGACCTCTCCAGGAACCGTCTAAACGGCAGCCTGCCTACGTTTTTGAACTGCTTTCCGAAGTTAAGTCAATTGCATTTATCGTTTAATCGTTTAGAGAATTCAATCCCTGAAGAGATTGGCGCCGGCTGTCTCAGCCTTGAGCATCTGGACCTCTCTGGGAATTCACTGGTTGGAAGCATTCCCAGCAGCTTGGGGAATTGCAGCCAGCTTCGATCTCTTTTGTTGTTTTCAAATCGTTTGGATGGTGTTATTCCTTCTAGTCTGGGTCAGCTGGAAAACCTTAGAGCTTTGGACGTGTCAAGGAATTGCTTGAGCGGCTATATTCCTGAAGAGCTTGGGAACTGCAAGGAGCTGGCTATGGTTGTTCTCACTAACATGTTTGATTATATGCAAGCACTGAATTCCGTGATCTATCATGAGAAGGATGAATCCAATTATTTTCACGGCGGGATTTCATGGAAGATTACTAGTTTGCCAAAGCTGAGGATATTGTGGGCTCCTAGAGGAAATCTTGAAGGGGAGTTCCCAAGCTATTGGGGTATCTGTGAGAGCTTGGAGATGGTAAGTTTGGGACAAAATAGTTTTACTGGCGAAATTCCGAGAGATCTCGACAAATGTGTGAAAATTAAGTTACTTGATCTTAGCTTGAATAAATTGACTGGTTGGCTTGGTGAAGAGCTCCCAGTTCCTTGCATGGATTTTTTTGACGTTAGTGGAAACCGTTTATCGGGCTCCATTCCAAGGTTTATTAACAAGAAGTGCCCTTTGCTTCCTTCACCAACAAACGACCTGCTTACTGCTTACTCATTGTTTTTCACATCTAGGACAATTGCAGAAATTGAACAGCCTTACTTTGAATCTAGCAGGAATTATGCAATTCATCATAATTTTGGTAGAAACAATTTGTCTGGTACGTTATCCTCTTTACCAGTTGCAACTGATAGATATGGGAATCGAACTGTTTATAACCTCCGAGTAGATGAGAATTCTATTGCTGGATCATTAACAAATGATGTGTTCAGAAGGTGCAGAGAATTGGGTGGTTTGGTTTTCAATTGCTATAGCAATCTGATTTCCGGTGAAATTTCTGCTGATATTGGTGCCATCTGCAGGGCTCTTATGGTTCTTAATGCTTCCAGTAATCAAATTACTGGAGTTATTCCTCAGAGCATTAGTTTATTGGATAAACTTGTTGCGCTTGACTTGAGTATGAATCAGCTGAAGGATGTGATTCCTGCTGGTCTTTCTGGGCTTAAGGCATTAAAATATCTCAACTTAAGCAATAACAATTTCAGTGGTGGAATTCCTGCTAAATTGAATGAGTTGCATTCCCTTCAAGAACTGGATATTTCATCCAATTTTATGACCGGCGAGATCCCTGGTTGCCTTGTCAAATTGAGAAAACTCTCGGTTCTTATGCTCAATGATAACAAATTTTCTGGAAATGTACCTTCTGGTTTTGCTAATGTGGCATCACTCTCCAAGTTTAACATGTCTTTCAATGATCTATCTGGTCCTTTGCCATTTAATTCCAGTAAAATGAGTTGTGATAGGATTCGTGGAAACCCGTTGTTGCAAGCTTGCCTTGATGATTCTTCTTCTGGTTCAGTTTCACGTCTTCAAAGAAGCGGTGGGGATTCCGACTCATTGATTAAAAATAGTATACCCGCACAGATATCACCTGCTAAAAGTAGTGGTGGTCTCAGTACTTTTTGGATTATAGCAATCGCTTCAGCTGCAGGTATTGTCTCGGTCCTTTTAGTTCTGATTGCCCTCTATATATATTCAAGGAAATGCCTGCCCAGCTCTTCAGTCAAGTCTTCTGAAATAAGGGATGTAACAATATTTGTGGACCTTGAAATTCCCTTGACTTATGAGTCTGTAGTGAGAGCCACCGGGAACTTCAATACAAGTAACTGTATTGGAAGTGGAGGCTTTGGGGCCACTTACAAGGCTGAGGTCTCACCAGGAGTTCTTGTAGCCATAAAAAGGCTTTCAGTGGGAAGAGTTCAAGGGGTTCAGCAGTTCCATGCAGAGATCAAAACTCTTGGCAGGTGGAGGCATTCTAATCTTGTGACTCTGATAGGATATTATGGCAGTGATGAAGAGATGTTCTTAATATACAATTATCTCCCAGGAGGTAACTTGGAAAATTTCTTACAAGAAAGATCCAGGAGACCTGTGGATTGGAAGATGCTTCACAAGATTGCACTGGATGTTGCACGAGCTCTTGCCTATTTGCATGATCAGTGTGCACCACGCATCCTTCATCGGGATGTCAAACCAAGTAATATTTTGCTGGACAATGATTTCAATGCATATCTTTCTGATTTTGGGTTAGCAAGGCTTTTAGGTAATTCAGAAACACATGCCACAACTGCTGTGGCTGGAACTTTTGGATATGTTGCTCCAGAGTATGCTATGACTTGTCGAGTTTCTGATAAAGCTGATGTTTATAGCTATGGAGTAGTGTTGCTTGAATTATTATCTGACAAGAAGGTACTTGATCCGTTCTTCTCTTCCTATGGAGATGGTTTCAACATTGTTACGTGGGCATCTATGCTTCTACACCAAACTCGAGCTCCTGAGTTTTTCACTGAGGGTCTTTGCAATGTGGCTCCCCTTCAACATTTGATAGATACACTGAAATTGGCCATTAGATGTACAGAAGAACAGCTTTCTCAAAGGCCTAGCATGAGACAAGTGGTACGGGTGCTCAAGGAAATTCAACCCTAACGCTTCTAAAATGAATGATGAGATGATAAGGTTTCAGTGCTCGACTTATAAAATGCTAAAGCTGTCATCTCTACCTGTGATTAGTACAAGCAAAATGTGAGGTAATTCCTGACTGTTTTCTTGAGGCTCATTCTCTATTGTATACTGAGGGAAAAGGTGAATGAAGTGTAAATATGTTTGCTTGAAACAGTTAATATAGTAATCCCAATTTTTAACGCATTCAGGTAGCTTAATCAATCAAAGTAATATTTCTTCCAGTCATTATCGTTGTACTTGATGTAACTAAGAAGGAATAAAAAGCATATTGTGTTTGCCTTTTTTAGCTTAATTAATTGATAATTGACAATATATATGCCCTTGCATGAATGTTTAGTCAATATAAATATGCACTTTCTTTTGAGCATTCTTTAGTTATTTCATCTTATTGGATATTCCGACTCTGATATTAGAGGATATAAAATTGATAGGAAAAGCGCTGTAGAACATATCAATTCATGGGACATTCTAAGTCTCTTGGTTGAGTATAAAAGAAAATTTAGTTGTTATCTCCATTGTTGGAGCAGAATACATGGTCGTAGATAGCTATGTCGCTCGAGTTTTATGGCTCAAACAACAATTGTTTTATTTATGAATTTCAATGGAGAAGATACATATTATGTGTGACAAATCAGTGTTATTTGTATAACAAAGAATTATATTCAACACTATAGACCCCCCCCCTCTCTCTCTCTCTCTCTCAATCCAAGAAGAACAAGAAGCTCCTCATAAGAAAATCCTTACAAACTGGTCTTAGAGATAGGTGAAAGGTGAGGAAGGTTCTTGTTTAAAGAAGAGAGGAGATGGGTTGTCCATGTGTGAGGGGCAGATGCACGCAGGGCCAAGGGCGTGGTAATGGCTGCACGTGAAACAAGGCTTCGAGCTGGAGCAGTCTAGTCGAGGGAAGGAAATCGCAGGATCGCGACAGACGAGCGCTGGGTTGAGTCGCACGTGCAGGGGGTCAAAGGCGGGGATGGACCGTGCGGGTGGATGCGTGCATACGAGGTGGGCTTGCAGTTGAGTAGAGGTCGGGTCGGAGCGCACACGGGCGCATGAGCGCGAAGCAAAGGCCGGGATAGCTGGTTGCGCGAGCGGGCTAAAGGCACAGGATCGGGATCGCGGGTTGCGCGAGCGGACCGAAGGCTTGGGGTCGGGTCGTAGTTGCGAGACTGGTTAGAAGCAAGAGGTGCGGGCATGAGTGGAATGTACTATCAGTCGGATACAAGAACGTGATCGGGGTGCAAGACTGGTTAGAAGCAAGATTTATCTGTTCTTTATTAAAGATTTATTTAAATCTTTGAGGTGGAGTAGAAGCAACTACTATTTCAGATCATGTTGACACAAAGATTCAAAATCGATAAATTTACCAGTTAAAATAATTTCAATTTATGGAGAATGAAAATAAAGGCTCTTCTTGTTCATCAAGGAACTTCTGAGATGATTTCTGTTGAAGATCTTGCTGCCATACCAACAAGGCAAGGGCTAGGCAAATCCAACTGAAGGATCATAGTGCAATTCTTCTATCGTTTGGTGATGAAATTTTGAGGGAAGTAGCCAAAGAGGGTTCAACTATAGAAGTTTGAGAGAAGTTGGAATTATTGTATTTGGAGAGATCATTGGCCAATTGGTTATATCTAAAGAAATCCTTATACACATGACATGACTTGATGATCAAAACAACACAACTATCTAAAAAAATAATAACTTACTCCAAATAGATCCATAAATAACACAAATAGAGCTATTTTTACTAATATCCAATCAAAGCAAACAAGATACAAGTTGATTCACTGTTCTAGAGGTGAATCGTCTCTCCCACAATTCCTAGCAACCTCTAGGAACCCTAACACCTCCAAAAACTGCTGCAGAAATTCAAAACATAACATAAAAAACTATAACCCACTATAATCTCCCCCCTTAAGCAGCTCAAATCTCCTATTAAATGTCTCTTACATCTAATAAATTCCCCTTACATGTTTCCTTCCAAACCCTCTTCTCCTATAGGTGATAAAAGAGGTCTTGGGCCCCAACTGGGTAGCTGAACTGCTGTTGACAGCTGCATTAATGCTCCCCTCCCAAAAAGTCACATTGTCCTCAAGGTGGAAAAAAGGAAATTGCTTCTGAATAGTACATTAGGGATAACATGTCGCCTCATATTATGATAAATCCTTCCACTTGATCAGCACTTCCTTGATCCCTTGATCTCCTTAGCTCACCCCTTTTACCTCCAATGGTTCTAATATCACCTCTATATCCTCTAACAGTGTGGCTGGTAGTGCAGGCGAGGGTGTGTAGTTTATAATGGCTCGTCTTAGTTGTGATACATGAAATATGGGATGAATGGCTGAGGTCGGTGGCAATTGTGGCGATATGCTAGTGAGCCAATGCACTCCACTACCTCGTAGCTAGGGCCCAAAGTAGTGGGGGAGAGCTTTTCATTCCTTCATCGAGCCAAAGTCCTCTATATGTGAGGTCAAATCTTCAAATAAACCATGTCCCCAACCTTAAACTTCACATCTCTCCTATATCCATATTTCTTCTTCTTCATGATTTGTTGTGCTCTCTGTAGATGTTCCTTATGCCAAACTCCAGTCTCTTTCTCCCAAGTATTGCTCCACTGATGACATTGGTGTGTTACCATGCCCATAATGTATCAGATGAGGTGGATCCCTCCCATATAGAATTTTAAATGGCATTGTCTGTACTGCTGTATGATATGAAGTGTTATACTAATATTCCGCCCAAGCTAATCATTTGGCCCACATCATTGGTGTATATGATACAAAGCAACGGAGATAAGTCTCCATACTACGATTCACCACCTCCGTCTGGGGATGGTAAGTTGTACTCCTCTTTAGGGTAGTCCCCTACATCTTGAATAACTCCCTCCACAAGTAGCTCAAGAAGACCTTATCCCGATCAGACATAATGGACTCGGGTATACCATGCAAATAAACTACCTCTCTAATGAATGTGGCTGCCACCGACACCGCGGTGTAAGGGCGACGCAAGGGAATGAAATGAGCATATTTTCTCAATTTCTCCACTACCACTAGAATCACAGTAAACCCATCTGATTAGGGGTGTCAATATATGACCCGACCCGAACACAACCAGAAAAATTCGGGTTATGGTCAATTCAAATAAAAAACGGGTTGGGTTTGGGTTCAGATTTTTGACCCATTTGTAAAAACGAATCTGGTTAGGGTTGACCCGAAAACCCGGAAATGACCCAGGTGACCCAAGATTTCGCGTTGAGTCTGCCCTTTGCGGTGACTATGTCGAGTCTGCCTGGTGCGGCGGTGCCTGTGTTTGAGTCGAGTCGCGCAATGATCGCCTTTAACCCCCTCAAGTTTACTGTCCTGGACCTCCTGGTCCACAAATACGAGGAGCACGCCACTGTTGACGCTGCCTCGGCAACCTTCGCCATTGCCTCTGACGTTGTCTCGCCTCTGACGCTGTCTCTGATGCCCCGGAATATATGGTCGTCGAGTTCGAGGTCATCCCGTGCATCTTTGTGGGCTCCGAAAATTCAGCCCCGGCCTCCGCCCGCTGTTCTTTTTATTCGGCGAGGGAGTTTTAACTGATAAGTTCCGGGGTAAATTTTGGAAGACAGATGGGTTTGTAGATAAGACACTGTGGGTCTCCGAAAGGATTCTGCTCGTGTGGTTCGAATGCAAAGGGTACGATCACACTATCCCGTAGGACAAAATGGTCATAGGCCTTTACAATCAACACAAGCAGGCCGATGGAAGAGCAGATGAAGTTATAGATACGATTAGCCATGGAGGATAGCGGCTTTCACCTACCAACCTCGATGGATAATAATATCTATAACCCAAAAGTTCACGAGATTTCTCCCATTTGATGCATCAGCTCGAATGGGGTTTATTTGATTGTGGGGATCGATTTCCTACGGGCGCAAGCCCCCGTAGTTAATTACATCCTAAGCCTTGACTTAGGAAGACTCTCGATTAAGGATGTTAGATTATCTGCTCTAAAGGGTTTAGTGTAAAGGGGGATTTCTAGGCTTTCCTAATCAAAGGGGAAGAGAGGCTCAAGTTGGCTTAATAAATCACACAGGGTTCAGTCAACATCCGGCCGGTCTGAGGAAGGAAAAACTGAAGAAAAGAAAGAGGCCACGCATTCAAACAAGCATGAGAGAAAGAGGGAGGCGGCGTCATCTGTGTGACGCAGATAGGTAGGGTTTATAGCTTCCGAAAGGATGGAGAGCTTACCCACCAATAAGGTGTGTAGTGGTTCACTCGTACCACTCACCTTTAGACCCTAAATCTAT